GGCTGCCCTGGCCTCCCTGATCAGGACTGTGACCTGCCTCCCGCTCTCCCACGCCTGTTGCCCCTTACTGCACTCCCTTTTTATACAGTACTTATCATTTCCTAACACACTAAATTATTTACCTATATTTTTAAAAAAATAACATATATGCATACATATATATCTTTAGTTGTCAATGGGCCTTTATTTTATTTATTTATATGTGGTGCTGAGAACTAAACCCAGGGCCTCACACCTGCCAGGCAAGCGCTCTACCACTGAGCCACAACCCCAGCCCTATTTACTTATTTTAGGTTTTCATTTTATTTCTTGGTGGTACAGGGGATGGAAACCAGGGCCTCATGCATACTAGGCAAGTGCCCTTCTACTGCGCTAGATCCCTGGCCCATTTACTTACTGAGTGTGTGTGTGTGGGGGGCTGGGGATTGAACCCAGGGCCTTGTGCATGCAAGGCAAGCACTCTACCAACTGAGCTAGGTCCCCAGCCCCGAATAAAGATTGAACCCAAGGATACTTTTCTACTGAGCCACACCCCCAACGCTTTTTATCTTTTTGAGATGGGGTCTAGCTAAGTTGCTGAGGCTGGCCTCAAACTTGTGATCCTCCTGCCTCAGCCTCTGGAGTTGCTGGGATTACCGACCTGCACTATTGCACCCGGCATCAAATACTTGTTGAATGAATGACTATGTCAAACATGTAGAAGTTTGGGGCTGGGGTTATGGCTCAGCAGTAGAACGCCCGCCTCACACATGTGAGACCCTGGGTTCGATCCTCAGCACCACACAAAAATAAACAAAATAAAATAAAATAAACATATTGTGCCCATGTATAACTAAAAAAAAAAATATGAAAAAAAAACCATGTAGAAGTCTCAAAGGAAGAGAAAGTTGGAGAAGCGCCTCGATACACACCATTGTGCGGGGCTGCCAGGGAATAGGTGGTCTTACCGATGGTGGCAATGATGCTGGTGCTTCGAGCAGCCACAGGCTCGGAGTCAATATCCAGCAGGCAGAGATGTTCCAGGAAGGTGTCTGCCATGGCGGCAGACAGCTGCTGCTTCTGGAAGAAGGCCGTGCCCAGCTCCTGGGTCAGCTGGGCCACGCTGGCGCGTCGCAGATATCCCGCCGGCCCTGCAGTCCAAGGGGGCTCAGTAGGCACAGGCACCTGCCTTCCTCCCAGCACTTCACTACACCTGTCCCCCTCCCCTGGGGCCCCCAGTTGTGTGTGGAGCTCTTGGTGCCTACATTATCTTATTTACTCCCAGTCGTTCCACAGACAGGTAACATTACATACTCTAGAATTATCCCGGTTTTACTGATCAGGAAACAAGGCCTGAGAAAGAAGAAATAAATTGCCCAAGATCCGATAACTTGTAAGTAACAGAGATAGGGTTCAAAGCCATCTAACTCTGTGACTAACTTTAAACTCAAGTTCTTTTTTGGAGATGGTTCTCACTAAGTTGCCCAGGCTGGCCTCAAACCTGGCCATCCTCTTGCCTCAGCCTCCTGAATGGCTGGGATGACAGGCATGGCCACCGTACCCAGCTAGGCTCAAGTTCTTGACCACCCAACTATACTGATCTCCCAAATGGCTTGCCCTTCAGCTACTGACTTGCCTCAGCCTCAGCCTCAGCCTCAGCCTCCCTTCTGTCTGGTTCATAGTGGCACCTCATTAGCCAATCCTGGAATCACCCAGTCCCCTCTCCTAAGGCCTCTGTTTTCTTCCTTCAAACCCCTGGCAATTGGCTGGCTTCCCTAACCCCTCCGGAATATCTTCAGTCCACTCAGTGCTGCTGTAGGCCCAGATTGGGGGCCCTGTAGCTCCATCCTGCCCAGCCCAGAGGAGCCCCATGTGAAGACGCACCTTCCATGCTCCCGCACCTGATCTGCCTCTGTGGCTCTGCTCCACGTTGTAGCATATCAGTGGCCTGAGGCCCAGCTGGTTAAAGTGTCACCAGAGTCTTTCCTGCCAATGGAAGCCCTGTACTCCAGGGACCAGAGTCCAGGAGCCACGGGAGTGCCCCATGCTTCCCATGTTGCAGGCTCCCTCTTGGCCTGCCTTCAGGACCTGCACACCAGGCCCGAGCCAGCCGGTAATTTAATACAGAGGACACTCTGATAAACATGGAGAGGCTCCAAATTCCTCCAACTCCTGTTCCAGATTTCCACCCTTTTCCCCCTCTGTTCAATGATTTCCATTCCCCTTCTTACCTCCTGGAGCCCCGATGAGGATAGACATTGCTAACTCTTTTTGGGACTGCGAGATCCATGACCTAAGCTGCTG